TTTTCTTCAAAAATTCATTGCAGGTAATGATTTTTTTTCTTCAAATATTCATTGCAGGTAATAATCTTTTTTCTTCAAAAATTCATTGCAGGTAATAATTTTTTTCTTCAAAAATTCATTGCTGCTAATATTTTTACAAAAATTTATTGCTGGTATCAAAACCCATTTTTACACTTTCATAGTGTTCTGACCCGGTTTATGGGTTAACTATTTGCTCATAGCTGGGACCCTAACAGATGCTACCACACCGGGCCAGGGTGGACCTGGAAAGACCAGCAATTAAGAGATGCTTCCACGCTCCTGAAAACCTCCTGATCAGAGGCCTTGCTGTTGGGTGTAGTTTATCTTCTTACCCTGGATGCAGATGTAGTTTATCGTCATACCCAGGACGGTCATCGTTTGGAAAAATATATAATCAATGTTGGAGACTATACGAAGAAAGTCCTTTAACCAATGGTGTAATAGCACTCCCTGTGACTGTTGTAGCTTCCTTACTAGACATCATTTTCGTCTCACCATCTTCCTGCGTATGTTTGTGCTCGTGTGTCTCTTTAAATGTTGGATTGGTCGACATTATATTAAGAAAAATATTTATTGTAATATATTTATTTAATCTTTTTAGTGACATCGTTCACTTTTTCTCGTATCCAAGAATTTAATTTATTCTTTGCTGATCGCTTTCTTTAATATGTGACCTCCGACGTAAACAATTTACACAGGTTCGATTCCTGTCGGAGTACACATGTTTTCAATGAGTTTTTTCGGACATTCAGGCCGTTAAATGTTGTTAATACTATTTATTATAAACAGAGCATTTCTTTAAATATTTGTATCTATAAAAAATAACGTATAAACAAAAAATATAATAAAATAATTGTCGGACTTAGTAATATTCATAATATATGACGCCATTTGTTATATGTTAAGATACGCTTCGATCAGATATGAGCGTTCGAGAGAAATCATGAGAAATTTGTAGTTTAAAAACAGTAATTTAACCTTGCTAACCAGACGCTTCGTCTGTAGCTAAATGGTATAGTCTCTCTTTTATGCCTCTTGATTCCTTGGGGAACATAGGGCCAAAACAACACCCCTCCAACAGACGCGGTTCCGGGCGATCCTCTTCAGCACAGCCTATGTTGTGCTGGCTGCCTTCACCTTTGCGTCAACACTTCTGCGCCAAGTCTGTTTTGGTCGACCCACTTTTCGCTTCCCTTGTGGATTCCAATCAAGGGCCTGCATGCCTGCCTGCTGGCGGGTAACTAAGACCAACATCCACAAACTTCATACATTTACCAGCCGATGTCGCAGGAATATCCTTAATATCAGGTGGCCGGAAATCGTCTCCAACGACCAACGGTGAGACAGGACCAGACAATCTCCAATCGAGATTGACATCAAGAAATGGTATAGTACGTCAGGCTTATTTAGTCGATCAAATACTATTTGTATATGGTGGAAATTCTCTTAGGTATATTTTGAAAATACCAATATAATGTCAATATAGGCCACAGCGAAGAACCCCAACCCACTCAATATTATGGATAGAGTTGTCTGAAAATGCCGGAGATGGCTAATCCAAAATGTGTAAATTTAAACTGATAGAGCTCATTGTGACTGACGAATGCTGTTTTTTCTCTCACTCTCATCCGCAATTACCTGTTAATACCCAGCTCTCAAATCAAGCGTCATATGCCTTATATATATGCCTTTCCTCCGCAACCATAGAACAATTACCGATTACACTTTTTCATCTCTGGCATGTGAAAGTACATGCACCCCTTACATGTATTTTCTTTTCCCGTCTTTCTACATCATCTCATCATATGACCAGCCTTAACTGCCATACGGGAGGACTGATATCACGTAACATTTCAGTTCTTTTTTCTTTGTTTCTAACGAAGGTTTTTCTGTTTCTTATTATTCTGCCTAGCTTTTGGAATGCATCTTTGGTTATACCAATACGCCTTTGGATTGCAGTGTCGCGCTTTCCGTCCTCTGTTAAAACACTTCCCTAATATTTAAATTTTGTGTACTTGTTTTATTTTACTATCTCCGATTTGTAATTTGCATTTTAGGCTCGTCCTTTTGCTAACAATCAGGCATTCTGTCTTCTTGCATTTAATTCTTAATCCTCAATTTCAACCCTAACCCTAACCAACACACAACAAAACGATACAGATGTCATGATTCTGATTTCTTCACAAAGAATATTCTCTCGTTCGTGATACAATCCAACAACCCCATGACTACTGATGACGAAAGACTCAAATTTTAATCCTTCTTGATTACTCATAAAGGCTTTACCCATGAGTATTCTTGATATTATTTAGTAAAATGTGAACGATTCATAACCCCCCCCCCAACATCCTGTGGAGGCGATAACAGGAAACAAGCTGTATGAATTTTTGTACTTGTTTTATTTTGGTATCTCCGATTTCTGACTTGCATTTTAGGCTCGTCCTTTTGCAAACAACTATGCATTCTGTTTTCTTGCAGTTGATGTTTAATCCTTTATTCTCGCTTTCCTTTGCTACTTTCTGTAGGAGAGTTTCTAGTTTTTTTCCGTGTTTGTAATCAACACTGTATCATCTGCATGCCTGATCTTTTTAAAATTGTGGACGCCAATAATGAATCCTGATAGGATGTCTAATTCTCTCAGAAATCGTCTCAGTGTATAGGTTAAATAAGTCCGGTGAGAAGACTCATCCTTGTCTTAGACCCGATTCTAGTAAAGTAGACTTATTTCTGCCAATTTTCCTCTCTTTCTCATGCCTGATCCGCATCTTCATATTAACCGCCACCGCCTAGTTCTGTATTGGGGTAACACACGCACCTATTTATTGATCGTCTTTATTATCCTCATCGGAACGCTACCCACTTCGCTTTCCGCTGTCAGGGCTTCCAACATAGTTACTTCCTCGCTTTCAGTGTGAAACGTCACTGAAGAGGTGATTCGGCCCAGAGTTCCTTCTCTCTCGCGAGGAAGTTCTAGTCTACTGGTGTTCGTTTTCGCCGTATGGGGTGACAATTTTATATCGTACTCAAGACACACCTTCGTTTCTGTTATTCTCTACTCAACCAATGGTATCTCTTCCTCTCCCAACTTCAACGTGGTAGTGGGGGCTCAAAGGAAATCAAAGTCCCATTCCTCTTGAAACAAAACCAGCCTGATATCAATTCACTGTCCAAATAAAGGCACACGTAAATCAACTGTCGGCTCAGGACTACAAACAGGTAGAGCAATCATCCCTTTTAATCTCGTCTCGCTACCAACCGCCTGGGTAACGGTCAAATCTGCTGGCCATAACATACTCCAATCTTCAGTCACTTTCTCACTGCTGATTTCATAACCGTTATTGCCGAAATCGTATCAATCAGTGCTTCCACTTTATTAATCCGTAGGCACTTCTAAGAGAACTACTTTCTTTCTTTTTATGTGCCATGTCCTCTCAGGACGTAGGCGATCATGACTCTCCACCCCCAGCTCTCAACAAGTTTCTTCCCTCTGCTTGCTCCCCCAGCCCACATTATGCCATCCACTCGCTTAAGCCCGCCAGGTATGCCACGCGGTTTTCCCTTGTCTCTCTTTCCATCTATTCGACTCGTGAGTATCAGATTATGCAGGCCCTCCTTCCTCGTTATGTGTCCCCAAAACTTCAGCTGCTTCTTCCTGATATTAAGCATAAACCTCCTCCTTGTTTGCAACCTCTCTAAGGCCTCATCGTTGCTCACACGCTCGGTCCATGATATCTTTAGCATCCTTCTGTAGAACCCCATCTACGTCGCCTCGAGTCTCTTCTTCATCTTTGAGAAAATCGTCCAACATTCGCTGCCGTAAAGAAGGACAGATGTCACGTAACAGCTCAGTATTCTTTTCTTTGTTACCAAAGAAATCCTCCTGTCTAGCAATACCCTGATCAGCTTTTAGGAATGTGTCCTTGGCCATCCCAATTTATTAAGAGCTACAAAGGACAGAAAAACCCGAAGGAACACGGCATATAAGAAAAGAAGATTTTAGCATCGCAAATCTAAACGCAAGCATCCGATATCACATGTTATATTTTCGCTCTCATTTAAAAATGTCAATGTCTCTTTTTAATGTTAAGTATAAGTTTCCTTTTTGTTAACATTTTCACTAAGACCTCGTTGTTGCTCATATGTTCTTCGGTTCATGGTATCCTCAGCATATTTCTGCAGAACCAAATTTCTGTTGTTTCTAGTCATTTCTTCATCTTTAAGGAGATTGTCCAGCATTCGCTGCCATATAGGAAAACTTATCACGTTCCTTACCCACCGTCTCCTCCCCGTGGGAATTTCCGTCATTGTTTCTCTCTGCCGGAGATTTAATTCTTTCACTACCATCAGTCCACATTTTTCATCTCTATTTGCATTATCAGTATCCCGACACTCCTTCCAGATATATATATATATATATATATATATATATATATATATATATATATGCCTTTCCTCCGCAACCATAGAACAGTTACCGATTTCACTTTCTCATCACTGGCATGTGAAGGTACATGCACCGCTTACATGCATTTTCTTTCCCCGTCTCTCTACATCATCTCATCATATGACCCTCTTTTCCACAAGTTAAGCCTTTAATTTTTACATTCTTTATCAACAACCCTTTCTAGTTAGTGGGGTGCCCATCTGAGTCTAAATTCTTGGATAAACTTTTAGTTTCCATCCTTTGAGTCTGGGGCTTTCCTTTTGTGGGTAGGAGTAACATTCTCCCATCCCAGCCTCTACCCTACTTACATGCACTGTCTGTCTCATGCACTTACTACATTTTGGTCAACCTCCAATCCTCTGCTACTAGGGGCAATCTAAGATTATTGGAACAGTTTTTTTTTATCTCTATGCTCGTCTCTTACAAACAAAACACACCAATCCGTAACGTGTCGGGGTGAGGAGGCATCTTCCATTCCACAACGAACAACTCTCCGTATTGGTGGCCTCTTTCTCCCAAATCTTCTGTTCCTGACATGACTCCTCTTCCCACGCCCGTAGAACACCTGCAGCAACTCAGTGGGTTCCCTCCCTCTTTTATTTCCCCCCACCCAATGGTTAGATGTTCCAATCTAGCCAATACTCTCTCTCTCTCTTTCTCTCTCTCTGGCGCTGGCCCCCTCGAATGCCTGTTGTCACGTCACTAGGGCCTTTCTCGTCACATCCCCACTTATTTGAGGTTTCTGAGGGAGTCAATAATGTAACCTGCTAATAAAAAAAATCAAATTGGCTCTTCGATCCGTATCTGGAGAGTCCACTCCTGCTAATATCTTGATTCTAGCCATCAATGCTCCTAAGGATATACCCTTTTTCTGTTCAATTCCTGCCTCTGTCGAGCTAGTCTGTCCCCAAAGCGACCCCTTGAGGGCCTACAATCCCACTAAGCTCATTGGCACACTCACTAAAGTATGTTAGCTTCGAATCTGGGATCTTTAGGTTGGCTATCAATCAGTTGTGGTGTTCACCTGCCCTACTCCCTACTTTGTATCTCTCTTCTCCCCAGAATTTCCCGTTGCCATCTTTAATTTACTTAGCCCTAACTTTCTTCAATATCCGAAAACCTGGCGACATACAATCGAAGATAGACGCAATAAGATTAAAAGAGAATTGAATTATGACATATTTTAACGGCGCGCTCCTCGTCTCGTCTTCTTGCCGTTGTTTTGTTGGATGTCGCTTTTAAAGTTCGATCTCATTCGAACAAAAAGGCTCTCGCGGGCCTCCTGTCCCGAACTCTGTCCACGCTTGATTGGACTTCATTACGCCGTTTAAGTGAAGCAAATCGTTGACAGATTATTTTGCGCCATTTATGTAAAGGATTTCTTAAATGGCATTAATTAACGTTAATTCCCATCGAAACAGAAGAAAAGTTAACAAAATCGGTGGTTGGAAGATTGATGAATTGTACAGAATATCAAAGAGTTCATATTAATATGAAAAACAATTTATTCGGGTATAAGAGATATTGTGCCAGTCAAATATATGTTTTTATGGACTATAACTTTCGAATTTATAGACCTTTACTAAGCGAAGATTAGATGTGGCACAAAGCTGAAAGTATGGAGTAACTATTGACAATCTAACTCACTACTCAGCAGTTATGTAGCAAGACAAGAATGGTAAACATTATACAAAGTAGTAGTGCTCAACTTTTTTATTTATGAATGCAGTTTTATATTCCACGTAGTCTATTAGCTTAGTTAACAATATTTTAATATATATATATATATATATATATATAATATTTTTTTATGTTTAACGTTGTTATTTTATATATATTTAAAAATTATTAAAAAACAGTATTAAATAACATTTAGAACAATGTAAAATTTTCATAGAAAATTTTCGTTCTTTGACAGGATTCGAACCTGCATCCTATACGGAACCGTCATATACGCTGACGTGCCTTTACCGCTTGAGCTAAAAGAACCAATCGGTAGACAAGGTCGAAACGTCCCAACGTTGAATCTTTCATAACTTAACGTATCGAATGTAAACAAATGACGTATATATTGGACAAGGTCCGACAATTTATTTATTAAAGACATTTTTTTATGTTTAACGTTGTTATTTATAGATTTTTTAAGCAAATTTAATACATATTTTTATGTTTAACGATTTATATACAAGTATTTAAGCAAATTCTGTTTATGATAAACAGTATTAAATAACATTTATATATATAGAAAATTTTCGTTCTTTGACAGGATTCGAACCTGCATCCTATACGGAACCGTCATATACGCTGACGTGTTTACCGCTTGAGCTACAAAGAACCAATCGGTAGACAAGGTCGAATTTACTGCTTATAAACTCCAACTTTCCATGAATCTCGTACATTCATAACTGCTCTGGCGTATCGAATGTAAACAAATGACGTCATATATTAAAGAAATGGACAAAAGGTCCGACAATTTATTTATTAAAGACATATTTTTATGTTTAACGTAAATTCGACCTTGTCTACCGATTGGTTCTTTGTAGCTCAAGCGGTAAAGGCACGTCAGCGTATATGACGGTTCCGTATAGGATGCAGGTTCGAATCCTGTCAAAGAACGAAAATTTTCTATGAAAATTTCTCGGACATTCAGGCCGGTAAATGTTATTTAATAATGTTTATCATAAACAGAGCATTTGCTTAAATACTTGTATCTATAAAATAACAACGTTAAACATAAAAATATGTCTTTAATAAATAAATTGTCGGACCTTGTCCATTTCTTAATATATATATATATAATATTTAATATATATATATATTAAAATATTAAAATATTAACATTAGAACATATAAAATTATGTTTAATATGTCCTGATGATGGTCTAAAATAGACCGAAACGTCCGACGTTGACTTTATATTAACATTAATACAGCATAATTGCATATTAAGATTTTTGTTTGTTTTTTCTGTATATTTTTTTCATACTGTCGGATCTATATCCATATTTTGCTTTCACACACACACACACACACACACACATATATATATATATATATATGAAAGTTTGTCACTTAGCTCATTGATGTTATCTTCAGCAATCCGACTCCAGAGTTTCGTAGACTGATCCGTCCGTCTACTCTTCAGGGGTATCGGTAATTGATTGCTTATATTTCTCGATTTTTCGTTTTTATGAATTTATCATTGGTGTAAGTTTTTCCGTATTGTTTCTGTTCGTGTATCCGTTTGCGCAGATGTGGTCATGCGCCCGTCTGTGTGGCTGTACGTTCGCGCGCGGGAGCCCATCTGCGCGGATGGGCGTACGCGTAGGGTGTCGTGACCATTTGTCCTTTTCTTCGTTTTTCCCCCCACTTTACACTCACTCCTTAGATTTTACTCTTTTTTCTCTTTTCTTTCAATTGTAGCAATTCCTAGTCAATTATTTCCGGTATGTTTTCTAAACATGCCACTGTTTTCAATTTTGGCTTTTGAGCGTTTTAGCGTTTTGGGCTAAGAAATGGCTTCAAACGTTATTCTTAGTGGATACACATATTTGAGTAGACCTCTTTTTTTTTTAAGCAGTTTTTATATTATCTACTAGCCTACGCATTTGAGAAAACTTACTATAGAAAATATGCCTTACATATTTTTTTGTTCTTGGGTGCACGTGTCTGAGTTTCTGTGTCTTTTTTTAAACAGTGAAATTAACGTCAGCTGACATAGCTTAGAGATTGAGAAGTCCTATTAAAGAAAAGTAAGCATCTTGCCAAAAACCGAACCTGTGTCCATTTTTCCAACAGCGAAACTGCTCCTATAGCCAAAGTATGCAGTTGCGGCTATAGTAATGGTTTTCTAAATGGAAAAACTTTTATGCCTATTTCATATGATTATGATTATATGACTATGTTTGATGGTACATAGAAACCAAATGCGTACACCTGTATGTGTGTGTGTCGATGTGTTTAAGATTGTCATCCCTATCAGGCACGGAGGGAAATTCCACCTCTCACCACTAAACATAGTCAAACAATTATATATATATATATATATATATATATATATATATATATATATATATATATATATATATATATATATATTTGTCTGATGATCGCAAAAAGCGTGTAACCTAGGGTCACAAACTCATATCCGTACAACTGAATATGTTAGCTCTCTCACTGATATTGAGCACTTTACACTAAGTACTGCACATACAAATTAATATATATATATATATATATATATATATATATATATATATATATATATATATATATATATATAGCGTATCTATAAACACTAATGAGTATGTCCCAATCCATTAGATATGTTGGACACTATGGTAAGAGGGGGTAATATGCTGTCTAAGTAGTCCAACATTAGCAGTGGTTTACCTACTTCACGCCGATCGCGAGTATTATATTTTTGTTCATGTTATAAAGATTACCATTTCATTTCCAACCTCTGTTTTGGTTATTCGTCATTCAGTAACCCTCTCTAGGTTACAACAATATATATATATATATATATATATATATGAATTAATATATATATATATATATATATGTGTGTGTGTGTGTGTGTGGATATTTGGGTGAGTGGACGAGCGGGAGTGAGAAAGAGACAGAAAGTGTTACTGGAATAAATTATAATGTTTATATAAGTGTTGTGTCTACAGAAATGCATTTAGAAGAAAAATTTTTTTGCTTGGTAAACAAGGCGCGGTGTCATTTTAGAGACATAAATGTGTCACTCGGGAGTGCTTGCTCACTTCTGTCAAGAAACGTATGATCTGACAAGAGAAAAAATAAAACAAAAATAAAGAAAATGAATATTATTACAAACAATAATTCACAATATTATTAGCTTCACGGAGAAAAGAAAACACCAAGGGGACGAAACCGTCGAAGGCGGCCACGCCATATCATGTCATGGTACCATTTATGTCATGGTACCATTTTTTTAATCTCATAACCGAAATACTTTTTGTTTCTCTCAAGCAATTATATTTTTCTATGTATTATGACTCTTCAAAACGTTGGCAATGATGGCAATCCACAACTTTCTATTTTTTGTAACTCTTAATAAATTTTGTCTATCTCTCCTTGAGATGTTGTGAGTTTCCCGCGTGTCGGTGTATGAATCAAGACAAACACAGTTGTAGAGGAAAATACTGGTATATTCATAAAAGCAATTAACAAGAGAGTGATTAGTAGAACGAAGGTTGGTTAGTACGAAACAATATCCAAAGTCTATCGTCCAACGGTATGTACCGGGTAAGCTTATCTGGACTGCTCACGCTGACTCTCTCTCTGACGCTCTGTCACTCTCTCTCCAGAGCTGACTTATATAAGAGGGACCAGTCCATTACAAGTTAGAAGGTGGGTGCGCCCCAACACTCCTAAACCCTGATCTATCATTCATTTAAACAAGTTCATCTTTTTTCTTATATGTGCCAGAACATTGGTGAACATGGTTCTCTACAGCTTCCTCCAAGGTAATTGAGATCTCTCCGCCATCCTTGCATCCAACATGTCCTTAACTATTTTATATTTTATACGGCTTTAACTTTATCGCTGAATGATCACTATCAATTTTCCTTTTTATTTTCTGGGTCCTTCCATAATCCTTAACCGGATTCGCAATTATATCCACATTGCCTCTTAATAATTCAGATAATTTCCCTCTAAATTTCTCCAGAACCATCGGCTCCTTTTCATTTATTGCAATCTCTCTCTCTCTCTCTCTCTCTTTCTCTCTCTTTCTCTCTCTACTTTGCAATCTATCTCTCCAGCCTCTCTTCTAACTATATATAACGCCCACTTTCTCCCTCTATCTCTGTTTTTCGCTCTCTTACCTCTCTTCTCTCTCTATTTTCCCACCCTTTCTCCATCTCCAAATCACTCGCTTTTTCTTACTCTATTTTCCTTCCCTCTTTTACCTCTCTGTTTTCTCTCCTTTACCTCTTTCCCCTTCCGCTCTCCTTATCTCTATCTCCCTCCTTCTTCTCCTTCTTTCTCTCTACCCTCTCTCTCTCTCTCTCTCTGTCTGTCCGTCTCTCTCTCTCTCTCATAACCTTTCTTGAATCGTTAGATATTTTTCTATACATCATTTTTGTCTTGCTACGTTCGCGGTGGTTCTTTTTTCTCGTCCACAGACATTTTTCTTCTTTGTACTTGTTCAACGAGAGATTGCACCAAGAAAAAAAAAACAATTCAACCAAAAACAACAGCGGTGACCGATTCGATTCACAACAGCAGTTCAATTCGCCTACGTAATTTTCTCTCGCGGGAACAGCAACAAACGACACACAAAATGGCGCTTGATTTTCCATTCTATTTAGTGGATTTCTTATTATAAACACTTCTTCTTTTACGTGTTCCGTTCAGAAAGGACGTGGACAACCCTGACACACCAACCCTGTTTGTCCTTACCATCGATTACGTGTCGGTTATTCGTTGTTTTCCCTGTTTCTCTTGCTTTAACTCTATCCTGTCAAGTCTTCTTTCCTCATTTTTTGTTCCAGAAATTTCATAGCTCGGTTTGATTGTTTATTATATGTTTCCTTATTGGCCTTCATTTATATGTGTACACGCGTATATGTATGTATTAACGTGTAAATATAAATATATTGTTGTGTATGTGTGTATATACGTATGTATCATCTTCCTTCTTTTTTCTTTTCTTTTCTCTCTCTCTCTCTCTCTCTCTCTCTCTCTCATCTGATTTTTAAGTTTACATTATATCGTCTTTTATTGTGCATAGTGTCACCACAAATGTATGCACCCGTTTCCAGTGTCGGTTTTTAATTTAATTTAGGTCAGCGATTCAGTAATGAATTATGCATCGGAAAATAATTCATATTTATCTGTATCTCACTCATTTAAACCGTCTTTTAACTTCTTTCTTTAAAACTTCTCTCTGTTAAATTTTAATCCCCACCTTCACTTTTAGGCCTTCCTGTTCTTCTCTCATCCGTTACCCCTCTCTAGAGCTTTTATTTACCTCTTACATTCGTCTCCCACTCAGACATACACTCTCACTAAACTTTATTTTTTATTCCCGGGGTTATTTTTTCTGATTTCTTTTTGAATTTGTAGGTCTAATGAAGTGGGTCGTAATTACGACCCCAATGTAATAAATTATAACCATGGAATATTAGTGTTTAAGCCTTTTTATTATATTCTAACTCTGTCCTGGACATTGAGTTCTACCTGGATTCTATCCTCTTGGGAATTTATATATATGTATGTATGTATGTATATTTATATATTTAGGTATATATATATATATGTGTGTGTGTGTGTGTGTGTATGTGTGTATTAACCACTAATATCATACTTATTATAAACCCAGGTTGTGTGTGTGTGTGTGTGTGTGTGTGTGTGTGTGTGTGTGTACGTTTATATATTGGATCGGATTTCCTACATTTTTCAACCGATTTCAACAAAACGTCACAGGTCTACGTAAAATTACCTTGCGGTGGTTCTGACAGGGCCAAAAAGTGAAAAAACACGATTGTTTTTGCACAAAATCAATTTGAAAACACGATTAAGAGGCATCACTCGCCAGAATGAAAGGGGGACAACTCATATCGAGTTATACTTATTATAAAACCCAGGTTGTTTGTGTGTGTGTGTGTTCGTTTATATATGGGATCGGATTTCCTACATTTTTCAACCGATTTCAACAAAACTTCACTTTTTTTGGCATGTAGTGTTTCTTATTGTCTTGCACACTTTTTTCTTTATTTTTACATTCAGAATGCTTTAAAAATTTCATTTACAAGACAATTGTTTATAATAAAATCGGTAGACTCATAACGATTGAAAACAATGTTTTTGTTTGAGTTTGGGTTTGACCAATTCGTAAAAAAAAAAAAAAAAAAAAACTAATTAAGACATGCGTGTCCGTCAACCTTAAACAATAATCTTTGTCAATTTTATTTTTCAGTCTTTATGATGATCGATACTTGATCTATCTCTTATTGTTATATCCCCGGGCAACGCCGGGCCTTAGTGCTAGTTATCAATATATTGCTCCTTATTGTAATAGGTTGAGCTCTCTTTGATATACTTCCAGTTGAACTACTTTTATTTCAACCTATTCAAATGGAAATGGAAAAATTTATTCCGGATTATTCCTTACAAAACATTCCTTACCCTTCATTGCATCTTTTCTCTGTCTGCCTTACAGATAAAATTAATGACCTTATTAAAAGAATGAGGTGGAAAACATTTTTCTCCCGAAGTCCCAAAAATGAGCAAGAGCTAAATCATGAAACATATAACCTGAAATCCCAGAAAACTCCACCGTGTAACAAGCTACTTGGACCGTTCGAAGGTGATTTGCTTAAGTTAATTAAAAAGATTAAGTTCAGGAATTATTCAAAATACTTCCAAGCTAAAATTGGTAAAGACATTAAAAACATTAAAAAAAACTCCAATAAATTATGGATTAAAGCCGACAATTCCAAAAATATCTATAAAATTAAACCCTTTGAATATGACAAACTCGTCACGGACAAAATTACCAGCTCTTATAAAAAAGACAATAGCACCTTATCATCTATCAATGAAGACAAATGTGGAGTTGCTGAGAGAATGGGCAAATTTAATATGAAACATACATACATACATTATCTTCAAAGATCATAAACCGAACTTTATCAATAGCTTGCAGTCCCGTCTAATTAATCCCTCTAAATCTGAGTTGGGATTAATTTCTAAGAGTATTCTTAAGAAAATAACATCATGTGTCCTGGATAAATACCCAGTCAACCTTTGGAAAGACTCGGCTGAGATGATTAAATGGTTCCGAAAGATCCCCAATAAAAGAAGAGCCACTTTCATCCAATTTGACATCTTGGATTTTTACCCTTCTATTTTGGAGGAACTATTAATTAACAGCCTTAATTTCGCTAAAGGATATACCGAAATAACGGATAATGATCTGGACATTATTTTAGCGTCAAGAAGATCAATGCTTACATACAATTACGCTACTTGGGTGAAGAAGAATAATGAAAAATTCGGTGTACCAATGGGAGCTTTCGACTCTGCCCAAATTGCAGATTTAGTGGGCATATATATTTTAGACACCTTGAGTAGAGTAGTTAGCTTCAACCAAGTTGGAATTTATAGAGATGGCGGCCTAATCATTGTGCCAAATAGCAATGGTCCTTTGACTTCCAGCTTACATAAGAGGATAATTAGGGCCTTCAAATACCTAGGTCTTAAGCTTGAAATATCTTCTAACCTGAAAATAGTCAACTTTTTAGATATCACCCTCAACCTCTCTAATGATATCTTTAAACGCTTTTATAAAGTTGATCAGACGACCCTATACATCAATGTCCACTCTAACCACCCTAAATCTGTAATAGATTACATCTCCAAAACTGTTAATACGAGAATAAATAGGCTATCTTCTAAACAAAAAATCTTTAACAATAATAAGTTTATATACAAACAGGCCCTCAAAAACAGTGGTTTTAGACAGGAATTAAACTATAACGAAGAACTAGAAAATCATAATAATAATAGACCTAAAAACAGAAAGAGGAAAGTAATATTGTTTAACCCACCGTATTTCAGGCTTTCTAACATTGATATAGGAAGTTTCTTCCTAAGATTAATAGATAAAAACTTTCATAGTAAATATCCACTACATAAAATTTTCAATAGGAAGACACTGAAAATTAATTATTCATGTGTAAGGAATATGGAGAAAATTATATCTTCCCATAATTTTAAAATACTTAAAAACTACCATAGTAATGAAACTCTATCTAGTAGTCCCACCTGCAATTGTAGAAGTAAAGACAATTGTCCAATCGGGGGAAAATGTATGTATGAGAATGTAGCATACGAGGAAACAATCTTTCCCGAAGAAAATATCAACCAGAAAAAAAGATATATAGGTATATCCGCTGGTGATTGGAAGCAGTGTCTATACAACCATTGGGAGCTTTTTTAAATATCGATACCTCAAAAATCAAACTTCCTTATCCTAACACTACTGGGATCTGGTGGATAAGGGACTAACCCCGCTTTTCAAATGGAGATTCTTATCAAGAGCTAGAATCACTAATAACTTCCGCGATCGGTGTGATCTATGCGTTGCGGAAAAAATTTTATTATTAAAGATAAAAATCAAGATGAGTTGCTAACTTCCGAGGGAGATCATTTCCAAATGTAGACATAAAAAAACGATTTAAAACATAAACACGGTTTTATAACGTGTTGTTACCTGTAACAGTTCCATCTTGGATTACTAACATCGGACATGACATTTAAATGGAATGACTCTTATGATTATCTATATATATCATTGTGTATGTTTATGTGACGCTCTATATATTTTTGTTCATTTAATTTGGTTTAGCAAACTTTATTCATATGTTGATATGTGTGTATGTGGGTATGTAGGTAAAAGTTTTCCTAAATTACTGATATACGAAATCTGATAGTTTTCTGATATTTATATACCTAAGTATATACGTAAAGTTTAGAGATAGATACACGTTCATCACTCCGTGGGTTTTTAAGATTGTTAACGTTTTCTTCCTCAGTGTTCTTTAAGTACAATTTAATTTAATTCCACCCATCCATTTTTATATGTTAAATGTATATATGGATGGATGTGGTTTTTAAAAAAATTTTTAGAGTTTTAGAATTTTTTTGACTTTTATCTTTTAATTTATATATATTGTTATGGGGTCCTCCCCTTTTCATATAAGTGGACTCGACCAGAGTGTTACTTGGACTGCTGCCGTTAAATACCCAGAGTCAGTCAGAATATACAGAGATTGAGAGAATGCGAGCAGAGATTGTGATTGAGTTGGAGGTAGAGTAATAGTGTGAGGTAACCGCTTGTAAAAGTCAGTTACAAGCACGTAGACTCTAAGGAAGTCCTACTTCGAGACTGTATATATATATATTATTATTACGACTAACCGCGTTCCTGGATTTACTAACAGAATTACCCTTTGTATTATTGTGTAAATACATTTAATTCCTTATCTTTATTTCTTGCGTTTGTCATTCATTGGAGACCGAATTTCATCTCGGAAT